ATTATATATTATTCCTGTGATAGCAAGGCTACATTTTCAGCATCATCACTCTAGTCTTCAGTGTCACATGATCCTTCAGAAATGATTTTCTGCTGAAGAAACAATATTAGTATTTTGGAAGGTTTTATTGTTGTTTAATATTTTTGTGGAAACCATGATATTTTTTTGAGGATTCTTTGGAATATAAAGTTGTTTATTTAAAAAAAAAAAAAAAAAAAGTGTTTATTTAAAATTCAAATGTTTTATAAATGTCTTTACTGTCACTTTTGATCAATTTAATGCATCCTTGCTAATAAAAGTATCAATTTCTTTTAAGAAAGTGTCTTACTGAAGCCATACTTTTGAACGGTAATGAATGCCATATTAATTTACTGTCACTTGATGTTTGTGAGTGAACTATGCTTATGAACCAACACTTTTTAAATGATTCACTCAATCTGATTTGAACATATAAATCAATGAAACATCTCACAATCAATTTAACTTGGACAAAAATAGCGCTTAAATACATTTCACTTGAGTTTTTTTTTGGGGGGGGGAACAAATTTTCTGAATGAACCGATTCATTAAAATAAACTGGGCACTCCCAGTTAGAAAGTACATGTCATGTGACCTGATTTCTCTCACCGTGTGCCCAGGCGTCTGGTCCTCAACCCCATGAACACCGAGCGGATGAGTTTTCCGAAGGATGCCGCGTTGACGGGTTCCAGCTTTTGCTCCTGACAGTGCAGCAGGTAGTGGCAGTAGAGTGTAGATCGGGGCAAACTCACCCCTTCCGCTGTCTCATAATTATCCAACAACCACTGCACCTGAGGGCCAGAGGACAGCTGCCGGGATAAGACGCACACAAACAGCCACACACACACTCAGACAGAGAGTCCAGGCTAAAAGATGCCCTAAGATAGACAACATGCAAACACCACAATGCAAACCCATGCATATGCTTTTGCATGCAGACACAGCACATGCGTGTATCTACACTGTAATTACAATTTACTCAAATTGGCAACAAATTGTATTATTTAGCAATGTCTACACATATTGTTTTTCTGACAGCTTCATGAAAACATGCAGTGCTGTGAATAAGTCTTTGTCTGAATTTCTGTTTGTGCACTTTTTTTTTTTTATTGTATGTAGATTATTGTGTTAGCATACAGTCAAGTGGTTAAATGAAAAGTTTCTGTTCTTGCATTTCTTTGGAGTTCAAGGTTTCAGTTGTACAGTACAATGAAGAAGTATGCCAACAGATGAATCAAAAGCAGAACTGCTCAGCAGGCATGGGTGAAAACAAAGTGTTTTTTGGGCAGAAAACCACGTTCATGTTTTTGAAAGAAGTCTCTTATCTTAGTAAGGCTGCATTTATTTGATCAAAAACACAGTAATATTGTAATATTACAAAATAAATATTTTCTATTTGAATATATTTTGCATTTTTTATGTTTTTATTTTCAGGATTCTTAGATGAATAGAAAGTTCAAAAGAACAGTTTTATTTGAAACAGAGATCTTTTGTAACATTATAAATGTTTTTACTGTTACTTTGGATCAATTTAATGCATCTTTGCGGAATAAAAGTATTAATTAAGTATTCTTTTAAAAAAACAACAACAACATAACATATACATTTTTATTTTACAGACTCAAAACTTTTGAACGGTAACGTATGCATCCACATGTTTTGGTTGTAAATCAGTGTCCACATACAGAAAATCAGACAGGGGCAAACACTTTTTCACAGCTCTGTATGCCTCTCGACAGCTGTTTCTGCGTGCCGTGGCATACAAGACGGGTATGCCATGAAATATTAAACAAAATGTCTCAGTCCTTAACTAAAAGAATTTTGTAATAGAATGCAAAACTGGCTGCTGCATAGAGGACCATGTTGAATGGCTAGGTTAACCGACCGAATGGTTATGGTTATGACTGAATTTTAATGTCTTCAGCAATGAATACGACAGCACAGTGAAAGCTTTAGCAAGCACCACTGACAAGCTACACGTCAACTGGACATGTGTCGTCATCGAAATGGAATGCTGCTCCCGAAGATTTTTTCTTCATAGAATAAAACTGGAAATGATTTGGACTTGGAAGTATCACTGTGCCCTCTGACATGTGGAACAGAGCAATGAGATCACCATGCGTTTAAATTCATTTGGGTGGCGGGAAGAGGGGTGGCGATGAGTGATGATTAAGCCCCGCCCCTGCTGTCCTCATACCTTTTTGTCTGCCGACGGCACGCTATTGTCCTCGCCTTCGTTTATACTCACGGTGGCTGGAGAGGCACGGGTGGGGTGCGGATAACCGTGACCGTTTCCGCTGCTGCCAGTCCCGCTACCAGCCAGCATGTAGCCGCCCTGAATCACGTAGCTCCCGCTGCTACCGTTAGCCTCGCCTCCGGAGTCTCCAGAACCGTTCGCCGCCGTCCCAGTGGCTGCCACTACAGCTGTGACTCCACCCACTGCCGCCGTCGTAGGATTGGCCACGATCTGCCCCGTCCCCGCTACAAACATGGACACCCCAGAGGATCCTGTGGTCACGGAGACGGTGAGAGGGGTGCTGGGGGACGTGGCCTCAGAGCCAGAGGCAGGGGTGGTCTCATAGTACTGTCCAGCAGCGGTCTGGGTATACAGAGGGGTCTCTGTGTACGGGAAACTGCTGGAACGACTGGGAGAAAATCAAAAGGGTTAGGAATTTGAATTGTAATCAAATATAACAACATTGTAGCGAATCAGCTCATTCATGGGGAAATATGAATAATTAATCATAACTAGTTATAATTAATTATAAATATTTAGATCCGCTGTAGATATTTACTTGAAAAGGCAGTGATTTTCCCTACTCACATTCCATTAGGTCGTAAATGTATCTGGTGTCAGGGTTGCCATGGTAACCAGGGTCCTGGGCCTTGTTCACAGACAACTTGGCACCCAGTATGTTTATTGGGTGAGGGGTCTGTGAACGTTTGTTAATCTAATGAATAATTGATTTGTTAAATCAAATGAAAAATTGTGTGTCTGATTGGTCCAGATGCTACAACATATACTACCTAGGGATTTTAAACTTTGCAAACATATTTCAAAATAGTCTTGTTCCATGTTGATATTTAACCTTGGGTTAGTAATTAGTAGTTCTGAGATTTCAAATTGTACATTGGTAAAAACAAGTGTAAAATTTAATATCTTAATATTTTTTTAATTAATAATAAATAACTTGATATGTTATATATTCTACAGTAAAAAGCGGTGCTAATCCTTTCTTAAAATACAAGTGTGAAGCTTTGCTTAACCCATGGTTAACAGTGTTTTTTTTTTTGTTTTGTTTTTTAAAGAGCTAACTTTTAATTCAGGAAGTATGTGTAGCATGAAAAGCCTTGCAGCTGATCCAGCACATGTGCACAGTGCCTGGGCTGAGTGCTGGTTCCTGTAAATACTCACATGGTGCTGGTGGTGTAGTTAGCATCTGCTCCTTCCACATACTGCACCTGGTTAGTATACACATGTTGGACTGGCAGCTGTTGGAGCTGCTGCTGCACCTGTAGCGCACATAAACCCATACACAAATTAAAAAGGCAAAATCGACACAATCACAGTTCTGCAACAAACTTAACTTTACAATTAAAAAAATGTAAAAAAAACATGACTGCAGCCAACATTCAGTACACTAAATCAGTGTTTCCCAACCTTTTAGTCTTATGCACACTACAAAAAAACATCCTTTTAACTCACATTACACTGGATAGAATTTATCATTATTTTTAATCTAATGGAAACTACCAAAAAAAAAAACATTTTTAACTAAAAACAATCAATACTGTGGTTGAAAAATAGATGATTTCTCTTAAAATGAAGCAGTTTGAGAAATTAAGTATCAGCAAACTGTGTATTTGATATTGGTTCAATTGAGATGGGATATTTTTGATGGGATGAAAACAGCTAACAATTTATTAAGAGGTTATTTATTTTTTTATTTAATATAAAAAAATATATTACTGATCAAATTAATCTAAAAATATTTAATATAAACAAATGTCTTTCAGTTAATTTTTTTTATGTGTTTAAAACAAATCTAATTTTAATATGTTTATGTATATCTAGACTACCATTCAAAAGTTTGGGGTCGGTACAATTTCTATTCTATTTTTTAATTAAATTACTAGTTTTATTCTGCAAGGACACATTAAGTTGATCAAAGTGACAGTAAAGACATTTATAATATTCAAATAAATGCTGTTCTTTTGAGCTTTCTATTCATCAAAGAATCCTGAAAAAAAATGTATCACGGTTTCCACATAAACATCAGCTGTTTTCAAGATTGATGATGATAAGAAATGTTTCTTGAGCAGCAAATCATCATATTAGAATGATTTCTGAAGGATCATGTGACACTGAAGACTGGAGTAATGATGCTGGAAATTCAGCTTTACACCACGAAAATAATTTATATTTTAAAATATATTAAAATAGAAAAGTTATTTTTAAATTGTAATAATATTTCACAATATTACTGTTTGTACTGTATTTTTAATCAAATAAATGCAGCCTTGATAAGCATAAAGAGACTTCTTTAAAAAAACATTTAAAAAATCTTCCTAACCCCAAATTTTGAACAATATTGTGTATATTATATATTCACTGTTTTTAAATGTAGACACCCCACAGACCCTTGGTTGGAAATCACTGCACTAAATGATCTAACACAATCAACTCACTCTCACTGACTGACCACAGCTTTACCTACAACACTGTGTTTTAACTAAAGTCACCTACGCTATGGGCAAAGGGCATCTCATAGATGTAAGACTGCACATCCGGCACAGGAGCAGAGGTGTAAGAGACCCTGTCTGTCTCCCAGCCCACTGACATGACGGGTACTGAGAAGGTGACGGGTGAAAAGGCGACAGGTAGAGATGGGGGGAAACAGGATGAGCAATCCAGCAAACCTCCATTAACAGATGCATAAGATAAACTGTCTCCAAACGGGTTAGTGCTTTTCTCTAGTAGTACTACTGCTGCCCTATGCTCCAACCAGTCTTCTATCTGTCTCTTTCTCTTCACTTCACTCTCTCTCTGTGCATCACTTCCTCTCTGTGTGAGAAAAGGGTTCTGAAAGCAACCGTTAGAGGGTTAGAGGCTTAATGAATTTGGCATTAAAGGAATTTCTGCATGAACTATTCCTATAATGCAATACATTCGAGATGACATGATTGTGAACATTAGAAAATGAAATGTGAGTCACATAAAATGCATTTTAGAGAGACAGAGAGAAAGAACTTGGACATCATAGGCATCAATTTGACTGCAAAACCAGTCTTTACTGACATAATAACACACATTTATATAAATGAGAGAGCTCACCTCCTGTGTCAGGTGCACAGATTGTAGGCTGGTGACATTCAGCTGGGTGCCCGGCTCTGTTTTCATTGTCTGAGATGTAGCTTGAACTACCGACCTCTGTTAATAGATTACAGGGACAAATGAAAAACATTAGCTTGCTGAACAAGCTACTGCGAGAATGGCAAACCACAATCTAATTTATCTAAACTGGGCCATGGTTTACAGCTCTAATGCTTTGTATGTGTTTATGTATTTTCACAGAATAAAGGAAGTTACAGAACGAAGCTTCTCAGACACTCAACTTAGTATTTATTTATTTTTTACCCATGAAGAAATGAGTAGCACTTGTGTTTAAAATAAAATAAAGACTCCAGTCATATCAGTGGCCTAATAAAATTTATTTGGGGCAGAGATGTTGAGATCACGTTAACCCAAATACTATTCACTTTCCCCTCAGTAACCCTCCTGTTTTCAGAACCTTCTCCTTAAGGATAAATAAACCACAGCTTACTGTGAATAGGGTATTTCTGTAATGCTATTAGTAAACGTAAACTTCCTAGCCAAGACACAAACACAATAATACTAAATTAACCTTTAAGTATGATTTAGGTGCACTACCATTCAAAAATTACAGTCAACAAGACTTTTTGACGTTTTTAAGTCATTTATGCTCACAAAGACTGCATTTATTTGACCAAAAATACAGTCAAAACTGCAATATTATTACAATTTAAAAACAATGTTTTCTGTTTTATTGTATATTAAAATGTTATTTATTCCCGTGATGGCAAAACTACATTTTCAGTTCCATTTTTGTGGAAAATGTAATGCATTTTCTTTACGATTCTTTGATTAATAGAAAGTGCAAAACAACACAATTTATTTGAAATAGAAATCTTTTGCAATATTATATATTTTTTAGTTTGTTAATCAGTTTAATGCATCCTTACTGAATAAATTAATTTATTTTCTTCTAAATCGAAGAAAAATAAACGTTATATGGCTTTGCGTGATGTGGATCATTACAAGGTCTGCACCAGTACACTTGGACAGAGTTGCTCCCTGTGGATGTACAGTACAGTTGGTAACCTGCAGAAAAGGTTATCTAGCTCTGTGTATATTTACCAGAATCTTTGGGACATTCCAGCAAATCTGTGAAACTACCAATTTATCTTTAGCACATTTAAAATGTACTGTTTTTAAAAGCAGTGGTTTTCTCTGTGGTGACCTCCCATTAACGCTAGTGTTGTTCAGGGTTTTTGTGATGGTAGACAACCAGACTGCGGGGGCAAGCCTTTTTCTAAGAACTGCTGTTCTACAAAATTCAAACAAACTCAAACAACAAGCAGTGCTGAACTTCCTCCATCTGTGGACTGACTGATCGGCGTTTTATTTGTGTACAGATATGAAAAAAAGGACTTCATTGACATTTTTTGTTATCATTGAATTTGATCAAATCACATTTTGAGGTGCCATATAATTCCAAAGGGTTTCTATAGATTTATAGTCGGCATATCTATCTACAATACTGTTCAAAAGTTTGGATTTGGAAGATTTTTTAAAACGTTTTTGAAAGAAGTATCTTATGTTCACCAAGGTTATTGTGAAACATTATACAATTTAAAAGAACTGTTTTCTATTTGAATGTATTTTAAACAGTAATTTATTCATGTGATAAAGCTGAATTATGCAGTCACTTTTGATCAGTTCAATGCATCCGTGCATTGTCTAAATGTTCAATTATTTCTTGATTTAACCCTTGATGGTATTGCACTGCACTCCAAAGATGTTTAGGTGAGTGGTGGTGCAGGTGGCTTTACTGTGTGTTTGGGCGCACACCTTTAGGGTTTAGGGTTAGTGTTACCTGTTGGACGGTCTGCACTTGCTGCACCACCTGTGTGGGAACTCCAGTTTGGACTACAGCAGCAGGAGGACTAGAATCTGACACAGAGTCACTGGAATGAAGAGAACCCTCTACAGGAAGGAACATAGGGGGTAAAATGGAGAAAAAGAAGTATATTAATATATGACAGATGTTTTATCCAACGTGACCTACATTACATTCAAGGTACACATTTTATTAGGTTTATGCTTTCGTCATGCTCTACTGTTTGAGCTACAGGAATAATATGTAACTTTTCTCTGAGCAGAGACTATAGCATGTCATTCATTCTTAGGATGAGGTAAGATGTTTATTGACTCTTACCTGTAACTGTGACAACGATGTACTGTGGTGTATTCTGACTGCTGGACTGCGTAGGTGAGCTCTGAATCTCAGCTGTGACATATTGAGTCTGCGTAGGCGGGGCTTGTGCAGGCGGTGCCTGGGCAATTGCCTGGCTCTTCTGTGCTTGCGAGGGAGGGGGCGTGGTCTGGCCAGTGGGTGGGGCCGCTGAAGGTGTGGCCCCTGTAGTCTGAAGTTCAGCCAGGAATTGTTGGGGAGCTGCCGTCACGGTGGAAGCCTGGCCTGATGTGGGAGTCACAGCGCCTCCCTGAGGCTGGGAGGTCTGCTGCAGCTCCCTCACATATGCTGGAGTTGCCATTGGGTTACCCTTGACTGAATGCAATAAAAGGGGAAATTAATCAGAGCTTCACATGATGATACATACAATATAATAAACAAAAGAAAACTACATTTAAATGTAGTTGAGTTGGAGAAGGTGAATTTTGGTGTATTGCTAGGGCAATAGGTGCCTTAGTAAGGCTTCGCGTCAGGGTCCTGATCACCGTTTCGGGGGTTTCTTCTGCAATAACAACTGGCTTAATGTGTATTATCTCACTTATTACAAGGTGACTTGCCACATAGGTAATTAAATGGACACGAAAATATTGATTCTATTTGCTCAATGCTTCTGCCGAAAAAAAAAAGGTCCTAGCAAATAAATTCAAACAAGATGAACCTTTTAAGTGGTAATGCACAGTCAAACCAATTATTACACGGATGTTCACCAAATAAATAACTACGTTGACATGAAACATTGATTTGAGTTGAAGCAGTTTTAAAATCTTATCTGTTTATGATGTCATAATCCATTAGAAATATGCAAAACAATTGTCTTGGCAACAAGATAAACACTACAACAATATTACAGTACTATTAATACTACAGTTCTCCGAGTTCATTTTCAATACAGTCCATAAGTGAGACACAAGATGGTACCAGCTGCATTTATATGAAACAAGAGAGAGCAAGTTAGCGGTGTGATACGAGAGACACGGAAGAAGTTATGGCCTCAGATAACTTGATGAGCAGTCTGTTAAGGGAAGTCGTGGCCTAATGGTTAGAGAGTCGGACTCGTAACCCAAAGGTTGCGGGTTCGAGTCTCGTACCGGCAGGGATTGTAGGTGGGGGGAGTGAATGTACAGCGCTCTCTCCCACCTTCAATACCATGACTGAGGTGCCCTTGAGCAAGGCACTGAACCCCCAACTGCTCCCCGGGCGCCGCAGCAAAAAATGGCTGCCCACTGCTCCGTGTGCGTGTTCACTGCTGTGTGTGTGCGCACTTTGAATGGGATAAATGCAGAGCACTAATTCTGAGTATGGGTCACCATACTTGGCCACATGTCACGTCACTTTTCACGTCACACTTTTTTATTCAGCTTTGCTATTGACTACAGTCATTAGGTGTAGTGAAGGTGTAGTGAATCACCATCGCCATCAAATCTCCTAGAGTGTAGGATCAGTTCTGGACTGATGGAAAAGGTCTAAGTATGACCAATAATAATGAAGATGCTTGCCATAGATAATAACACTATCACAAAGTTTTTTGTTTTTTTTTCATTATTATCACTAATCACTTCAGCAAAGTACCTTCTTGGCACAACCATACGGTTCCAGAAAAGCCCTAAAGACTACAACCATTGTTGGGCGGACAAAAAGAGGAGGGAAGGATAGGGCAGAACGTTTGGTGTCCTATTACAAGTAACCTGATCACTGCTTGCAAATGAATGAGGGCACACACCATTGTCAAGAACACAAAGTGGGACTTGGACACAAAAAAAAATTTAAATTAAATTAAAAATAAGGTGCACCAAAAAAAAATCTAATATCAATGTCAAATTTCATGTATCAGTACTAATTTACTTAATTACTGTTACTCTAATCGGGCAAATTTATGATTCAATTATGCTATAGTCTTCACATCAAGCCTGTATACATCTTGCTTCCTTTTGTGTTCTTATATCTTATGAATTTGTATTGTTGCACTTGTTTTGTTGTTCATATAAACAAAAAAACGCACTTATACAAATATTTATATAATATAATAATTCTAATAAAAACATATAATGATCAAATATATAATAAAATAAAAATGTATTATTTACAACAATTAACAGGTATTGGCTCATCAATAGGCTTCTATAATATACGCATATGTACCCATTATTTAAATTAATAGAAATGCCAATAAATAAACCATTTGAACCTGGTTAGTATATTCACAAGGTAAACACATAAAGTAACACAAAATTACTCAGTATATAACGCACAAAAGAATCTACCCGTGGACGTGCAAACGTTTAGACCCAGTACCTGCTCAGTCAAATGTCCTGCTTTGCATCTTATTTACAATGCACTGACTCACATGAATGCGATTTCGGCACATTAACGTTATACTACGTATGATTTCATATCCAATAAGCATCGATTGGTCAGCAGAGGTTAATAACAGGAGAGTATCTGGTTTATCCAGCAATAACTGCAGGGTTGTCAACGTGGCCGTCGGTGTAACTATGCCAACAGCGTTTATAACACCTGGCTCCATAGCAACGCTAGCAGAATGCTACGGATGGATGGCTATCCGGCAATGTGTATGGAGACTCACGTATTATTGCAAACAACACCCGCCATTTTGTACAACCTATCTAGTATATCGTCATAACAACGAGCAGATTTGGCTGAAGCTGGTGGTAATAATGTCTATCCT